GATGGCCTTAACCTCTCCACTTTTATCTAATGCATTATAAAACCTATCAGTTAATACTGTTAGCAAATCAGCTGTAGAACAAGAAGATTGAAATCCATATTAATGATCAGAAAGTAAGTTATTAAATTCAAGATGTGAGATTAAGTGTTTGTTAATTAAAGATTCGCTCTTAAGAATTTTTTAAAATAGGGATAACAGATGCCGCTTTCCAGCATTCTGGAGAACAAGACACTGATAAGCACTTGTTAAATAGTTTTGAAAGTATAGATGACAACTCCAGAGAACACTTCTGCAAGACTGCAACAGATATACTGCAGTCTTGCAGAAGTCTCCTGAGGTAATAGTAAACAGACATCAGTTTTCTGAAGAATTGTTTTGCTGATAGATATGGAAGTAACGGTTTCGATTGGGAATTGCAGCAGTACAATGTGAGGAAAACCATGGAGAAGAGTGAGGCTTGACCTGGAATTGTCAAGAGAGAATAAAAGATTTCAGGCCTGAATCCAAGAAGTTAGGTAAGAAGCACATTTGTCAGCAGGAAGATGAAAGATTTCTACCAAAGGGCCATCACAAAGAAAATTACGAGAAGAGTCCCAGTCAGCTTTAAGGCAGTAGTAAGAGGTACGATGATAGGGGGATTCTGATGATGAAGAAGAATGAGATAATAGTTTTAGAGAGATCAAACCATGATCAGAAGCACCTAAGGGTCAATGTGGAGAAACTGAGCACTAACTAGGATCAGAAACAAGGCATAAGTTGAGTAGAGAAGGTAAATGATTCGGGTTGTCTGGAAAAAAAAGTTGACTATTTGAGTTAGAGATTGAGAAAGGCAAAAGTTGAGGGTCTTAACGCCAGCAGAGTCACTGACACTAGAGCCAAGCCATTCAGTGTGATGAGCATTAAAGTCACTAACAAAACTTTAACTTTTCTCATAGTGGTTAAACAAATTTTACATTTTTTCATGGTTAATGAAACATAAAAATATGTAAAATTTGAGCTCCCCAATTAAAACGGTTTGGATTGGAGAGCTCAAATTTTACATTTGAGCTCCCCGTTTGGAAATTCTTTTTTTACCAAATCTGCCATTATGGATTTTTTAGTATTACTTTTCAATGAATAATTTAAGATCTAGTGGAGGAATGTGGCTAAAAATTGGTACCTGACCATTTTTGAGGATGCTGAATTGAAAAATTTTGAAAAAATATTGAAGTTTAAATTTTTTGATAGTTATTTTCTGATTTTAAAATGGTCAGTCAAATTTTTTGTTCTGTTACCATGGGTTGCGCTTTCATTAAATCCCGGAGTTGCCCAAGTCTTTTGGATTCAATTTATTTTTCAAATAAAGTATTAGATCTCAGGCTATCTTTATAAAAAAGATAGTTTTGGTTTCTTAAAGCATAATAAAGATATGACATTTTGAAATTTAGACAAAAAAATCCTTTTTTGGCCTCCATTCTCCATTATAGAATTTACAGCAATACTTCTTTTGTTTAAATAATTTAGGTTCTAGAGAAAGAAAATGACTGAAAATTGGTACCTGACCATTTTTAAAGGTGTTGAATACAAAGATGAAGAGAAAATAACTAAATTCTTATTATTTAAAAATAACCAAATTCTTTATATAACCATAAAATAACCAAATTCTTAATATAACCAAATTCTTAATATTATATTATTATATATAACTTAATATTAATATATAACTTAATATTATATATAACTTAATATTTGAGAATAATTTTTTAGATTTTAAATATCAACAGTCAAATTTTTTGTTTTGTAACCATGGTTTACATTTCACTTATTTCTGGAGTTGCCTTACTCTAAATGCGAAAGATTAGGTCTTATAAAAGTTTAGGTCTCTGAAAGAAAATAAAAAAGTATACATGGAAATATTATTTGTAAACATCACATTGAAAATATAATTTCATTATTTATTAATTATAATAATTTAAGTTAACATTATTACTTAATGTCTAACAATTAAGTATTATTTCAAAATATTGTTTGCATGCTCAAATTTTAGGTTGCATGCTCAAATGTTGTGAAACTGAGAAAAAACTGAGAAACTAAAATGCCAATTTTTTTGAAAAATAATAAAAAATCTGCTTTATTGAAAAATGCTCAAAAATAGAAATAAAAAGTAATAATCCAATATTACTAAAATTGAAGTTGATATCATTTAAGTAATGTAAGTAAAATATTAATAAACTTTCACTGACAAGATAAAAGCTGTTCAAATAGTTTCATCTTCTTTGGAAATGTGGCTGACGCCCAGAAGATGTTGATGGTGTTTTAATAAGAGAAAAGACATTCATTCTTGGCACCCAGCAGTTAAAATCGAAAAATAATGAATTTATGTAACTGTAGGACAAAGATGAGTTTTAATGATTAATGGTTTTATGCATAACCTAATTGATAAAACCGACATCATTTTTCAAATTATCTGAAATTAAACACACAAAAAAAGATACTTCCAATATCACTTTCTTATAGTAGATGACAACTGTAGAAAGAGAACATTGACTTTTGCTCTAATGGTAACTCTGTATCTCGTCTTGTACTACAAAAGTGTAATTCTCTGCAAAAGCTAAGAGTGCAATTGCCTCATCAATACTAATTGTTTTTTTGAGATGCTTCAGATAGCTAGATTGTGATTTTGCTATAAATGAATGAGAAGTAATTTTATTAGGTTTTTCACACAGAAGCTCTATGAATTCATTTAATGGAAGTTTTATTGTTAATAGTTCAGTTCTGTTGTTGTTTGAAATTCATTGACTGTTCATTTTCATCACTGTCATAATGCTCTTTTGGATCATCATTTTGTATGAGATACTGCTGGAAATAATTTGGGCAGCTTGTATGCCAGGACAACTATTGCATTTTCTGCTGCAAACAATCTTTTCAATGATTTCATGGTAAGATGTTTCAAGGCCTACAGCACTCAACATTAATTTAACATTTTGGTGTATTGTACACACACTAACAGAATGTGTACCTTTTGGACCAGCAAGAATGCACCATTTAGCTCAAAGACTAGAAAATTAAGAAAATCCAATTTTATGGTCTGGGTACTTTATCCTAAATGCCACATAGAGTCCTTTAAGTTACACAAAATCAGTTTTTTTGAAATGTATTTATTTTTCTTAACACTAACACCATCTTTTTTTTTCCTAGCATTTGCTTTGAATACTCATTGTCACAGTAAAAAAGCCTTACAAGTTCTATAACATCTTTGCTGATTCAATGCCGTTCAACCACATCAGGGTATGCTAAGATGCCTTTTTGGTTTTGCAAAAACTTTGAATTTTGAATTTTGTATTTGAAAACTGAAAACGTTTTTGCTGCTTTTCTGATACACCAAGATTTTGGGGTCAATGTCAAGTTGCTGGCTTCTGTTAAAAACTTTAAGCTTTTTTTTTCATGCATTCAACAAGGAAGTCTAGATCACCAGCTTTGAATTTCCTTTAGAACTTCATTGTTATTTGGTGCAAATAAATCAGTTTCAGTGACATCCAGAGCAGTTGCATATTTTTTTTAATAACTGCTTCTTCAACTTGCTTTATTTTTATCTTTCCAAGTGAAGGCTTTATAGAGGTTTTGGGTAAATGAACTTTTAGAGGAGACACTTCAAGCTCACACAAAGTACTGTTGAGCAATGATCTTGCTGATTCCATTATAATTTCTTTTTTCATATTATCTTCAGGTAATTTTATCTCCAACTTATTTTCTTAAAGTTCATAAAGATTACTAGTTTTAAAAAACGCCTTAAAAATAATATCTGTTTAATTTTGAAATTTTTCAAAACGCCTTACATATTTATTTGCGAAAAATCATCCAACTGCACTGTTGAAATTCTTAATAGTTAATTGCAGTTTTACTATAACAATTATAATTATTGTTATAAAAATAATTATTATATTATAACAATAACTATAAATATTATAAATAAAACAATAATTAACTATTAGGAATTTCAAAATATAGTGTAACTAATATCGCTGTCTTAAGAACAGAAGGAGGGGGGGGGGGGAATGTTCTATGTTTTGTGGTCTTATAGTATAGTATAAATAGTAACACAAAAACTTACATTTTGAAATAAAATAAATATTGTTTTTAACAAAAGTCAAAATATTGGATTTCGAAGAGAAAAAATTTACATACATCAATATATTTTTTAAAAACATATACTTATTATGATTTACATGCGTACATGAATTTTTGAAAAAATTCATATGCAAAAATTGAAGTAAAAACTACTTGTGATTGTTTTATAAAGCATTTTGAATGCCGCTTATATCTATAAAAAATCCTGTCTGCATTTTTTCCGACAAAAAATACTACACAAATACTTATTTTATTAAATTAAGTTTTTTTTTCCAATCCATAATATAATTTAGATAATAAAGTTTATATATAAATAAATATTTTAGTTGCAAATCTCTTATAAAACTGCAAGCCTTAAAATATATATCAAATAGTTTTTCTCGAAATACGTAAAAATCAACTTAAGGCTGTAGAGAAACGTAGAAACGGCTGTATAGCAGATGTCGCAAAACTATATTTTTACATGATATATCACATCACAAATCTTTATTAATGTATCAAAGCCAACCTCAAAAAACCATTTTTACACATCACAACTGAATCCATAAGAGTCAGGAAACTCCAGGAATTAAAGAAAACATTACTTCATTTTATGGTAAAGTAATTTTTAACCATTTTGAAATAAAAAACAGTTACCAAACATTTTGAATTAGGTTATTTTCTTTTCTACTTTGAATTCAGCATCTTCAAAAATGGTCAGGTACCATTTTTGAGTCAGTTTCTTCCACTAAAACTTAAATTATTTACATATAAATTATTGCTAAAAAATCTATGATAGATAATTTGAGTACAAATAAGGAATTTTTTGTATAAGCTTAAAAATGGCATATCTAAATTATTCTTCAAGAAACCAAAACCTTTTTTTTTTATGAAGTTAGTCTAGGATCACCTACTTTGTTGGGAAAAAAATTGAATCCATGAGACTTGCAACTCTGGCAACCACATGTAATAGAACATCAAGTTTGACTAAAAAAAGTACTACTACAAAGTCCATAATGGCAGATGTGGAAAAAAATATGGCGTTTTAGGCTGAATTTTAAAATGCCATAACTTTTGAACAGTTTGGATTTGAGAGCTCTAACTTTACATTTTTTCATGTTACATTTATAGGTACCACTGGTTGAAATTTGAAGGAAGTCTGAGAGGTTGACTGAAAAATTTCAAATTTTTGTCCCACTTTTACATGGAATTACCTGCTAGAATCCCTTACCCCATAAACCTATTAGCAAAATTTGGTAATTTTAAAAAATTTCATTTTGCTAAAAATAAAAAAATAATAAATAACATCATGTAACAAACCTGTTATAATAAATAACAGGTTTGTTGCATGTGCACTCTTTTTTGTTGTTGATTAAAAATTAAAAATGTAAGCAATTGAAAAATAAAAATACAGTTTTAACATAAAAACTTTTTAATTTTAATATATTCTATAAATTAAGTATACAATAAACAATAACAAAGTAAATCAAACAATAACAGTATACAATAAATCTGCTATCATAAACACATAAACAATATCAATATGTTCATATTAGCGAAAAAATGTTACCAAATGCATATAGCAGTTTTCTCCACAAGGCTCAATATTTTGTATATCCATTAACTGCTAAAATTAAAAATATCAAAAATTTTTCGAATATGTGAAAGTTACTATTATTTATTGAAATATATACATAATTATTTACATATACATTATTATTTACATTTAGTAAAAAATTATACACTACAATCATTTATGCGTTCTTATTTACATATAGTATTCAATTATATACTCATTATTTTATCATTTATACAATCATTTAATGATCTTAAGTGAAGATTTTTAAGATAATTTTAAGTTTAAAGAAAACAATCATGTGAATATTATGTTATAATAATTACATTATTTTTAAATTCAAAAAAGAAAAGAAAAATATTTTAAATCTAAATAAATGTTAATACATGTAATTTGTAAAGCAATTAAAGACTAATTTATTACAGAACATATGATAATAAAGAACAGTAATTTATTTAATTTGTCTGAAGATTGAATTTTAAATTTAAACAATTTGAATTTAAGATTTGTAATTAAAAATGTAACTGTGTTATGTTTTAATGACAAATAATATACCACAATATGAATACTGAATAATAATAAATTTTTATTATTTTTTAAAAAAAGATTTTTTACACATTTAATAGTTTATTATGTTTGTTTTTTTTGCAATATAGCAGAGGTTATAAGTTATAAGTTTACAATTTAGTAACAATAAATATTTTCTTAAATAAAATGAACATGTTTATATAGTTTTTAAATAAAATGAACATGTTTATATAGTTTTTAAATAAAATGAACATGTTTATATAGTTTTTAAATAAAATGAACATGTTTATATAGTTTTTAAATAAAATGAACATGTTTATATAGTTTTTAAATAAAATGAACATGTTTATATAGTTTTTAAATAAAATGAACATGTTTATATAGTTTTTAAATAAAATGAACATGTTTATATAGTTTTTAAATAAAATGAACATGTTTATATAGTTTTTAAATAAAATGAACATGTTTATATAGTTTTTAAATAAAATGAACATGTTTATATAGTTTTTAAATAAAATGAACATGTTTATATAGTTTTTAAATAAAATGAACATGTTTATATAGTTTTTAAATAAAATGAACATGTTTATATAGTTTTTAAATAAAATGAACATGTTTATATAGTTTTTAAATAAAATGAACATGTTTATATAGTTTTTAAATAAAATGAACATGTTTATATAGTTTTTAAATAAAATGAACATGTTTATATAGTTTTTAAATAAAATGAACATGTTTATATAGTTTTTAAATAAAATGAACATGTTTATATAGTTTTTAAATAAAATGAACATGTTTATATAGTTTTTAAATAAAATGAACATGTTTATATAGTTTTTAAATAAAATGAACATGTTTATATAGTTTTTAAATAAAATGAGATATAAAAGCTAGAATAAATGTAAAAACTTTATATAAACAAAATTAAAAAAAAAAATTAGTGTAAATAAAATTAAAAAAAAACTTAGTATAAATAAAATTAAAAAAAACTGAATGCTAAAAATGTAAGTAAAACAATTTAATACCAAAACATTCTTGACTGAATTTAACTTTTGTCTTTAACTTTAAGACTCTTAGTCTCATGGCAAAATTAGTCATGTCTTATTAATTTATTAAACAACCAACAAAGTAATTTTAATAATTGAAATAATCTAAATATTGATACTCTAGTTAACCTTTAACTTCGCATTACACTATATCAGTAGTGCTTCACTACTGAAGTAGATTCTAGGCTTTTCTATTCATGTTTCTTAAGGTTTACGCTTTCTTCCAAGCAAAGTCTGCAAGTAAACTAGGGCTGATAAATCTTTCATAGCTTTCAGAGAAAAATTGTTGTTGTCTTAGTTTATTTTACAATTAATATTAGTAGCTTTAATGAATAAATGTTTGCTGTATTTTTTTTATTTATTTATTTACTTAGACTGTTTAGATTTTGAAGAAATTGAAAGTGACTTGTAAAGTAGTTTTTTTTTTAGTACAGGACAACTTTTTTTTAGTTTTGTTTTTAGTCCATTTTAAAACATTTTTGTTTGTTAAGCATATTTCATTTTATTTTTTAGTGAAATTAGAACAATCTGAAACGCTTTAGTTAATTCAATTCATTATTTTATTAATAATCTATTTATTGTTTTTTGTTTTCTTATACCTAATATTAGGAGGATGTAAACTAGGTAAATTGAGACATTGAGAATAAAAATTTTAGCAAAAAACAAACTGATTCTGTTTTCTCTTAAATCAGTTTTTTTTTAAAACCAGAATTCTTTGTAAGCACATGAAAAAGTAAATCAATGTTAGAAAATTTTATTTGTTGATGCAAAAATATTTGTGTGAATATTTCTCTGTATGTATATGTATATTTTTTTTTAAGAAAAATGACAAGGAATAAGAAAAAAAAAGAATTCTGCTGTGAAAAATGGTTATGTTCCCACATATTTCTTTGGTTAAGGTTTTAGGTTACTTTGTAAAAGTATATGAATATACATATATATTACTTATGAGAGATCACAATTTAAGAGCTTAGAGAATTGAGACTGACCAGCCTAATAAAAGAAATAACCTGGTGTACAACTCAATCCTTTCAGGTACGCTTTATTTAAAATTGGAAATTGGTTGTGTAACTATAAATAGAAATTTAGATCTTGAGGGTTATGCAACAACACTTGAACAAAAGTTAGTGATCTGAAGTAGTGGTTTTGACAGATGTTTTTGATCCTAAATAGCTATTTGTTATTTGAATTTAGTTGGCTTCATTAAATTCAAATTTGCATTTTGTTCTGAAACTTTATCAGTTTCCTTTCAGATCTTTTTTTAAATATTTTTTTTTATATTGTCTTACCCCCTTAATCTGTTCCTTATAATATAGAAAAACTCTATAAAAGGTTTGAGCAATAAATTCTTATGTTTATTGGTAGCTCAAGAGCTTCAAAGGTTATGAAAACTATAAAAATTCTATGAATTGTGAATATATTTATATTTATTTTCAACATAGTATTTACTTTTAAAAACATAAATAGTGAACTATTTGTTCAATTTCTGGCAGTATTAATAGTATCAGTTTGACAAAGACTAGCAAACTCAAAGTTTATTATGTTAACATTAGCTCAGTCTGTTTTCTGCTATCAGGGTAGATTTTGCAATGATCCTAGACAACTTGGAGCTTGAATTGCAGCTGCATTTCATCATGGGTTATTAATTGTATTCTTGAATCAGTGCCACTCCACGTTCTACATGGTCATTAACAACTTTTAGAGACTCAACTATTTTTGCTGCCTGCTTGTAGTCATCCCTATCCTCCTACAAGTCTATCAAGATTAACCATGAGAAACCCATCTGGAAGTTCTATCATTCAGAACAGGGTCTACAATATCATTCAGAATAGAGTCTGTGATAAAAATTTCCAAGTTTTTGCCCTTAAATGAATCAAGAGCAACAGTGATTTGCTTGGAATGATTCTGATCTTGATCTTCTTTGCTTGGCATAGCACTCACCATCAGTCTCTTTGTTGACAAGCTGACTCAACTGTTGAAGAAAGCTAAACTAACATGTTCTTTTGAAAAGTACCACAAGTGATTGGAAAACTTGTGTGTTGTTAATTTCAATTTGGCTGAATGGATTAATGAGTATTTAAGTCGTGACTTCAGCAGCACCAGGTCATTGTAAGGAGCAAGCTTTCAGGATCTGAACTGTGAACACACATATATCAATCCTCTCTTTTCTGTGGGTGGGAGTTGAACTGAATTTTGAACATCTGGGCCTTTAGACTGTATATGACTTTGGACATCTATCCATCATAGTGTATTGCTCTGGGTGATACGAATTGCACTGCTCTTGCAGGAGCAGCACCAAAAAATATAACCACAAGTTACAAGAATTCTTTATCTATCATCTTAATCATCTCTCTGCTATTCTTAATCATCACTTGGTTGACTCTGTTCATGATGCTTTTGAGCATAATCAATAGTGCCTTGCTTTATGTCTTCCATTAGGCTTGCCACATCATCAACTGTATTCCCTGGTTTATACTTGCCTGTGTCTATAGAGTCTCAGTATTCATGAAGTATTTGAAAAGTGGAACCTCCAGAGAAGATGTGGCTCCAATACACACTTAGAAAACTGCACCAATTATCAGTTCCATAATGTGATGTTTGCACGCCAGTGACAAAAGCTCCTTCCTAAGCTTCTGCTCTGGGAGGATACAGGTACCAGCTATCTGACCAGTGTTTAAGCATGGTCATGTTACAACACATAGCTCGTATGCTATCAGCTATGCCCTTCAATAGTTCTAAACACAGCAGCAGCCTTAGCCTCACCTGTTATGAATGGCAACTGAAAGTAGCTGAGAAACTTTCTTCCCTGAAAACAATACTGGCAGGCAATCAACTCGATGTTCAACTGTCAGCCAATTGAGTCATTGAATAGATTAATTTTATCAATGTTCTTTCCCAAGCTTTTGGCAGTTTCTACTAAACAAAAACTGCATTTTTAAAATATTAATTCACCTCCCCAAGGTTGATAAGGCCACTGCAGTCAAACTCTTAATAATAAGTTTTGCAATCAATGGTAGTTTGAAATCTTGTTTGAATCTTTGAGATTTGACATCGCATTGACTATCAAGCAATTAATATTGTTTATTTAAACTTTGTCTTCAGGATTAGATAAATTTGCTTTTTTTTAATGAAATTTAAACATTTAGTTTGTTTTCAAAAAGTTGATGAACATCAAAAGTTGATGAACATTTATATTGCAATATGCAATTGTATTGCAATATGTCATTAAACAAATCTTACACAAATAATGTGTTTATAAATGTGCTTAATTTATAAATGATCATTATTTTACTAACATTACATTTTTTGAAAGAATAGTTGCATTACTTGATTATAATGATCAAAATTTAATCCAATTAACAAAATAGTTACTATTGTGTAGAGCTGGAATGTTAAATTCACTAAAAATGACTTGCAGTGTGTGTAGAGCTAGGCTGTTTTCATTTTTTTAAATTATTCTTTATCTTCTGAAAATTAATTAAAATTTAATGTAAAACAATTATTGTAATTTAAGAAATAATTATTTTTTATTTCTTTTTTTTTAGGTATTGGCAAGCTCTACTTGACTTTTCTATTCTGGTACCTGTTGTTGTAACTGATTTTAAGAAAAACTTAATAACTGATATTATATAGCCTTTTTACATTTTCACCTAAAAGCGAAGAGAACTAAAAATATTATTGATAGATAAATTTCCATTTTATTATATTTCAGATCAAGTTAAATCTGATAATATTAATACGCTAATTTAATAGTAGTAGTTAATAGTCGACTTACGTCATTTTCTAGGCTTTTCTATTTTAAAGTAGTTTCTAAGCTTTTCTATACGCGTTTTTTTTTTTTAATTTTATTTACTAACAACCCGTATTACAGGTTGCTATTACTGCTAGTAGTAATTAATGTAGTAAAATAGTAAAACAACTTTTTCAACAACTAAAAAATTAATAGCACTTTTTAAATACCTTTCTTTGCACTTTAACTGGACCAGGGCGTACAGCTGAAATGCAAATGCAACAACTTTTTATAAAAAAAAAAAAAAAATTAAAGATAGATAAATAAAATAAAATAAAATTGAAATTTAAAAAAAACAAAAAAACAAACAAAGGAATTATAAAAGAATTACATTTTCAAATTTATTAAAACAAAACTAAGCGATTAAGTGTTGCAGACACTTACAATCAAATCATTTTTTTCCTTGTATAAATTAATTCAATTTCTTTTTTGTTAGGACCCCTATTGTCAGTATCTCTGGTTTAAAGTTTTCCCAAGGTTTAGAGGATTTGGTTAAATAGAAGATGTGAGGGTAAATGGAGGATAAATGATGTCATTAAATTGTAAAATACTGATTTTGGACACATTTTAGATAACATTCTAAGCCTCTAGGAATAGGCATAAAAGTTCTATTGACCTAACTCTCACTCCATTTTTGTCTAACAAACTGACATAGATAAAAATATGTGTTAAAATCTTTCATGCCTAAAATGATAAAAGTTTGATGTTATTGACTCTATGAGTTTTTACTTGTACATCTTTGCTAAAACAGCAAAGAAGTACAAGTAAAAACGTTGAGTTTTGACTTGTACTTCTTGACGTTGAGTTTCTAGTATAAAAATCTAAACTATTCTTTCTCTTTTTTCATATTTAATAATTTCATTATTAAATAATTTTAAATTTGAGCACTCATACAGGCCAAACATTGTGGCACTACTAATAGATATTAAACATTAAAAATCATGATCACCATAACATTGTTTTAATTCTTTTGCTAATACTTGTAGTCTTAGAAGTAACCTTTTATCTATCACAAAAAACCTTGTCTCTTACAAAAATCACGTGACAAAAATCCAAGACTAATTTAAATTCAACTGCTTAATCTTCAGGTGTCAAGGTTATAATTCTCTGACTCAAAAATAGTCACATGACTCCAATAGTAAACGACCAGAGTTGATATTTGATGGGGCCGGGTTTGTGACTGGGGCTGCATAAACAATTATACATCCTAAAGTGTATTTTTTAAACTCAAAGTTCATGTTATATTTTGAATATATATATGCACATATAAACATCCTTATGATCAACATGATCATCATTACCATCATGATCATGATCATGACTATCATTATTATCATCATCATTACCATCATCATAATCATCATCATAATCATCATCACTATCATCATAATCATCATCACTATCATCATCATCATAATCATCATCATCATCATCATCATCATCATCATCATCATCATCATCATCATCATCATCATCATCATCATCATCGTCATCATCATCATCATCATTATCATCATCAGGCTTTAGCTTTCCTCTTTTATGCTGTTTCTCTAATATAAACAATCTAGAGCATTTTCTTTCATTAACTAAACCTCATTCATACAATATATAAGGCACTCTCTTCAAGTTTTTTTACTTCTACCACTACCATTTTCTCCTAAAGTTTCTACCTCTCTACATGCTGATACCTAAATCACTTTAATCTTCTCTAACAAACGTTGTCCAAAAAGACGCTTTTTTATCTGTCTAAGATTATGCCTCATTTTCTTGTTATGTTAGAGTCACAGCACACATTCATCTGATCATCTTCTGTTTTGGCAAATAATACACCATATAAATACTAAAGCTTATATAAATATGAAAGGATATTATTTGCCAGCATCTAAATAAATAGCAAAAATATATATTTATACCCATAATATGTATGTATAAAGCGCAATGTGGAAGTATTTATTCCTTATGGAATAAAAGCTAGGAAGCTTCTATTCCTTCTCTTCAATATTAAGTCAAGACTCATTCTACTTCGCATTTTCACCATCTTGAGCAGTTGTTTGAAAAAAATGATTACTATTAAACAGTAATCATTTTTTTCATCTTTTTTACAAGAACGTCTCTCTTATAAACAAATGCCCTTTTATTATTCCAAGAAGCTAATGTAAAAAGGACTTGTCTGATGTTAAGCTCTGTTATTCTAAGTTTACTAAATCTTGTTTCTTATATCAGATGTTAGGTTCTAGAGACTTTTGGTAAGTCTTCAACAGTATCATTAACTAAAGTAAGTTTAACATTTAATTTCTAATTCATGGGTCTGACCTTTTACTTCTCCCCAGAATAAGGCAGAATAAGCTTTTTTTTTGCAAAAAAAGTTTACTCTAATATTGCATACTATACAAATAGAAATTTAAATTACTCTTTTTTTTTGCTCTATAGTGACTCTAAACCTAAATAGCAAATTTGCTGCAAGCAAATAGTAGTTGCTAATAGGAACTAGTATTTAAGTCTGAAGTTATTAGAAAGTAAAGCAGAGAATTAAGATAAAGAAGGGGTGCGAGGCTGGTCAACAGAAATTTTCTCCTTACCACTAAAGCCTTTGCTTTCTGCAAGACAGTAGCTGGATTTATAATAATAACATTGTCTAAATAAATATTCATGTGCTTGCTGATTATTTTATTTAGATTAGTTTTTGCAATAGCACTTAAAATACCACTTAAAATACCTATATAGATACATATTTTTTTTACCTATATAGAATAGACTTATTTAAATATTATCAAAAAAAAAGTTTATAGCATAACATAAATTTAGTGTTTTTTAGGTTGAGTCATACATAAAAAAAATAGTAAAAAACATTGAAGATATTTTTAATAAAATATCGCTTTAATAAGTATTATGTAATTATGCAATGGTAAAAAAAAGCAAAAAATGTTTATTTGTTGTTACACTTAAGTGAGCGTCTTTAAGGTAAAAAAGTTCATTATTAGATTTTTTTTATTGTTTAGGCAATTATTTTTAAATAAACTTGAAAAATTTAAATGACTAATGTAAGAATTTCATTAAAAAAACATTTTAAAAAACTGTAAAAAATTAACAACAATAAAGAACTAAAGAGCTGAAGGAGTTTTCAAAAAGCTAAATTTTATATATAATTTATACTTTTAATTAAAAACTTTAAAAAAATAAAATATACTTTTTAATACACAATATTTTTATAGTTGCATTTTTAACATATTATCTAAAATATAACTTAAATAAAGTGAATATAACAGATACATGCTTATTCAAAACTTAAATTAAATCTTTTTTAATTAACTGTAATAAAATTTGTTCATTTAAATTTAAATAACATAACACAAAAACAATTTTAAAAGTATCGAACTCATTCATCCAAGCATTTGTCACAAAAGACTATTTTGGTAATTTGTTGGTAACTTGTTTCCTTGCTTGTAGTTATTTCAGTACAATTTTTAAACTTTTCAAATAAAATGTTTCAGAAAGAAGAAGAGTAACAAAGAAACTTTTTAAAAATAAAAATAAGAAGTAACACAACATATTTTATTCCATCATTGCAATAAAAATAAAAATAAGAAGTAACACAACATATTTTATTCAATCATTGCATTAAAAAAGCAATCAAATATTTTCTAATATATTTTTTAAACTATTAGAAGAGTAACAAAGAAACTTTTTAAAAATAAAAATAGTCTTTTATAACTTTTTAAAAATAAGAAGTAACACAACATATTTTATTCAACCATTGCAATAAAAAAACGATCAAATATTTTTTAATAAATTTTTTAAACTATTAAAATAGAGTTTAAAAAATTTGGTCAAATGCAACGTTGTTTATAACAATTTTTATAGAAAAAGATGCTTGATTTTATATCAGAAATATCAGAAAAACAACTGCTGCTGAAAATTGCTTTTCTGGTGCATTTATGATACAATTTATGAAAAACTATTACCAAAACATAAAT